AGTAGCTGGGACTACAGGTGCCCGCCGCCACGCCTGGCTAATTTTTTGTATTTTTAGTAGAGAAGGGGTTTCACCATGTTAGTCAGGATGGTCTCAATCTCCTGACCTTGTGATCCACCCGCCTCGACCTCCCAAAGTGCTGGGATTACAGGCGTGAGCCACTGCGCCTGGCCTTCTTTTTTCTTTTTTGAGACGGAGTCTTGCTCTGTCACCCAGGCTGGAGTGCAGTGGCGTGATCTCTGCTCACTGCACCTTCCACTTCCCGGGTTCAAGTGATTCTTGTGCCTCAGCCTCCCAAGTAGCTGGGATTACAGGCATGTGCCACCATGTCTGGCTAGTGTTTTGTAGAGGTGGAGTTTTACCATATTGCTGGCTGGTCTTGAATTCCTGGCTTCAAGTGATCCACCCACCTTGGGCTCCCAAGGTGCTGGGATTACAGGTGTGAGCCACTGTGTCTGGCTCAGTGGTGTTACATAGCAACTTTTACTGAAGCCTCAGTGCACAGCCACAATAGAGGGACTGCCCCTTGCAGAGCGGGGCTACTCCATAGGCAGTGTGCCCAGAGGAGCAGCTCAGAGGCAGCACTGCTGTCATATTTATACCCACTTTTAATTATATGCAAATCAAGGGGCAGTTTATGCAAACATTTAGGAGGAAGGTGGTAACTTCCAGTCACCAGGTCATTGCCATGGAAAGCTGTGCTAACTTCTGAGTGTTGCCATGGCAATGGTAAACTGATATGGCACACTGGTGGGCGTGTCTTATGGAAAGCTGCTTCTGCCCTAGACCTGTTTCAGCCAGTCGTCAGTTTGGTCCCGTGTACAAGCCCCGCCTCCTACCTCAGTAGGATAGGGCACTGGACAGAACAGCAGGACTCCCATTCCGGGCCCCAGCTGCTGGAGGACGTTTCAAACACACCGTGATGGGGAAGGGAAGATGCTGTGTTGAAGGTAAGGACCCAGTCCTGGCAGGTTCATCACCTGCTGACTAAAGAGCCCTTGGACCCTGAATAATCGGCAGCAGTGGCCAGGCCAGGTGGTACACGCTGTGGGCCTTGGGTGAGACTCAAACGTGATGGCTTCAGGTGGAACCTGGCACATTCCCAGCTGTGGTGGCTACATGGGAGAGACTCCTGCTTGAGAAAAGCAGAGAGGCCAGGCGCGGTGGCTCACGCCTGTAATCCCAGCACTTTGGGATCAAGTGGATCACCTGAGGTCAGGAGTTTGAGACCAGCCTGGCCAACACGGTGAAATCCTGTCTCCATTAAAAATACAAAAATTAGCCGGGCGTGGTGGGGGTGGGAGGGCGCCTGTAATTCCAGCTACTCGGGAGGCTGAGGCAGGAGAATCGCTTGAACCTGGGAGGCAGAGGCTGCAATGAGTCCAGTTCACGCCATTGCACTCCAGCCTGGATGACAGAGTAAGACTCTGTCTCAAAAAAAAAAAAAAAGAAAAAGGAAAAAGAAAAGAAAAGGGAAGGCTGGGTGCGGTGGCTCACGACTGTAATCCCAGCACTTTGGGAGGCTGAGGCGGGTGGATCATCTGAGGTCAGGAGTTCAAGACCAGCCTGGCCAACATGGCAAAACCCCGTCTCTACTAAAAATATAAAAATTAGCCAGGTGTGGTGGCGGGTGCCTGTAATCCCAGCTACTCGGGAGGCTGAGGCAGGAGAATCGCTTGAATCTGGGAGGTGGAGGTTGCATTGAGCTGAGATTGTGCCACTGCTCTCCAGCCAGGGCAACAGAGCGAGACAACGTCTCAAAAAA